GGGGGGGGGGGGGGGTCACTATTAATTATTAGATGTCAGATTTTTTCATGAGAAATTTACAACACTTCAGTGTGAAACTCGAGATCTATGGTTCTATTGTGGGGAATCGGCTGTGCCTCGCGCCACCCCCCATGTCTTAGGCTCTTGAACCACACACACGGGTCGCGCACAGGTGGAATAAGATGGAGTAATATTTTGCTTATGTAGATCTAGATTGAACCTGCCGCCTAAGGCGGTCCAAGGTAACATGCTGTGAGTTCATGCCTGCAGTGTCGTTCAGAGTCTCTCGTCTACACTTCTTTACATCCCGGTACAAGATCAAGGTGCCTTTCCTGGAACGGAGCGGGAACCTGTAATTGTAATACCTCAACATGCTTCCTTTTCCTACAATGGTTCCTTCGCCAATCTAGCCGTTACACTACCGTCCTGCCTCTGAGTTCAGAACCTGATATTAACATGTTCGAAGAAAATGGCCGCACCGCATTCCCAAAGTAAGCCGCCTTAACCATGTTGCAGAAGAGACCCACTTCGACGACCCCGGTCAGCATCTTGATCTCCATAAGAAGCTGTCCGGACCTCAGACTTGCGCACTTCAAAGCGCGTTCAGAGACAAGCACACCTCTTTGGGATTCTGGTAGCGACCGTTGTCAAATGGAGCATCTATTACGAAATTACCGTTGTCGGTTACAACTGGGCCAGCCTTCGCCTTTGCCATGCGTAAAACCGCCGTCTTCGATCCCATGTCGTGGAGATGCTGTAGTACCCTCACATATGCAAAAGGTGCAACTTCGATAGGAACACCTTGCTTCCACTTGAAACAACTCAGTCAGCAATGCGGCGCGGTCTCCCAATCTCTCATGCATACTGTGGTTCCCAGCGTCTGCGAATCTTTCCTATAGTCAGCTACAATGATCCAACTGGCTGACTATCAAGCAGTGCATTGTTGATCGAGGACAAGCACGCACGTCTCTGCTGCTTCTGCCAGCACTTTCTCTCGAAGCTGGCAAGCTCCACCTCCTTTGATGCAGTTGAGGTTCCTGTCTACTCTGCACGGTGGTTAACTTAACGGGCTCGGCAAGTTGACAGCACTGTCATACTCATCTGCCCCGTCGATAGTTACATCCAGATTCGGATATTGATCAATGTCGCCGAGCCGGAGACCCGCATTCACGATGAGCTCCTTTGATTGGAAGCCTAGCGAGGGGTTCAATTGTTTTCCTGCCAAAGGATGATGAATAGTGAGCTACTCACCGGTTGGCAGGAATACCCTGTCCTGATTCAACTGCTTTCCTTGCGCGACTATCCGGTCAACTACGAATGGCACGGTGGAGCCTAGCGAGTGTCAGCAACACTGGATCAGCGGAAAGAGCGAACTATACCGGATCCAATCCCAATTATCTTAGACAATATCAGTCCGCGTTATACTGGTTTCTGATCAGCTCGCCTTATGGTGAGGTAGGATGTGTTCATCCACCGCAGTGAAGGCGGCCAGCTGCTTCGCAGCATCGATACCGGTCGGAATTGTCTGTTTCTGCTCAACCTGCATCGAGTGTACCTATCCGATAGCCACAACAACAGTGGTAAGGGGACAAGAGAGGAGGGGGTGGGTACTTGTGATGAACGGTTGTGATTGGTGATCAGTTCGGCCAATTTTGCTGGCACGTTACAGCACGTTTGTGAAAGGTGGTATGTATCGGGCGCACCCTATGTTGCATTTGATTAGCCACTTCTTTCCACTCTGTACCCGAGTATGAAAGCCTTCAAAGGTGCGCAACAACCTGGACTTGTGGTCACGGATTCTCACCCACCTGCCAGGTGCCCTTTTGACCTGGTGAGTGGTGGTGTGGATGGTTTTGAGAAGGCTCATCATCACGTACACGCTGCTTAAGTGACGCTGCAGTCAAGCAGATTCTTCTCATTATGGATGAAAACGAAAAATTCATTATACAAGATTTAGACGAGACCCACTTAGTTGTGCAGATGGATCAACTGGAACGCGTGCAAAAGATGCTTGAGGTCGAGGTATCACTCATGACCATATTGAGATTATTATCCCTCTAACTTCGATTTTGTCCTAGCTGGAGAAGAATACTTACAGCTTGGACCCCCAGTAACCACCTTGGATCGCCGAAATTCCTTGCTTAGCTTGAGACCACTATTTCTGCGACCTTCCGTTCGATATCTGCTGCGCTGAGGTTATCGACCTCGACATGCCTCTCGAGACCTTGTTCTACTTCAAGTCAGTATCCAGTCAAGGGCGCCAGAATAGAATGATGGGGCGTACCAAATCGCGCAAACACGCGTGCTTGTGTCCCTCCCGCTTCTCGTATAAGTATGGGAACATCTGGATTGGCCTTCTTAATCGCAGGATAAGTGGACTGTATGAATTGCCTGGGCATAGACATTCAGAAGCAGACTGGCTACCTGTCGAAGTAAATAATACCTAATCCCTGCAGAAGCCGTACCGGTTTGGCAGCAGAGGATGCGCAATTCTCGCACGGCGGGAGAGAATGCCTTTGCAAAGAGCGACATAATGTGTCCAGTAGTAGTTGCCAACAAATGGCTTTGGGGCAAGGCCCGTGTGATTGGCCTCGAAAGTATTTGCTTCCGTGCAGACACGGTACGTTGTTGTTGCCCTCCCTTCCCAGGCATCTCAGGTGTTTGCCAATTTTGTATTCACGAACGATTTACTCCAACTTGTTCCTATTTCACAATACTCAACACTCACTATCCTATTCACCCTTCATTCATCGTTTTGGCAAGTTATCTCATAGGTCTTAGTTGACGTGCCTTTTGCTCATCCCCGCCTGCAGTGTCTTCTGCAGTCATGCCGATTGATCGCCTTCCCTCATTCCAAGAGGTCCTCGCACGGAAGACTAGACCGCCAGTGGACCTATTTATGTTCTAGTGGGTGCGATGTTCCTTCTCCCTGAAACGTAGATTGAGAGTGTACGCCAGTCTTTTCCTGCAGCGAGAACAGGCCGAAGACGTGCTAGACTTTTGGTTGGATGTTCAGCAACACGAGAACTTGTGTCGCGCTTATTTTCGAGACGTGAGGAAGTCCGGCAAGTCCATCAAGGAGGATTGGCCGCAGTATTGGGATTATGCCAGAAGCAGAGGCAGCATCTACGGGAATGTTGTCGGCGTTCACAGTGGCAAACGCAGTACAGCTAGTACAGCCAACATCACTGATGCTGAGAAGGCGGGCATCGTTTCCGGCTCACGAGCTGCCTCTCCCCGCCCTGCAACTCCACATGGCCCAAACCCATTTGACTCGCAACACCTCGGAGAGGACGCGCCGCACCGATCCACTACACCATTCTCATTCAGACGCGCGTCTGCGATGAACAAGCGGGCATCTCGCGCCCCTACCGTTATTCCCCGCGATACCGCTATTACCCGTATGGACCTCATCAGTTCGGCGGAACGCATCTACGCTCGTTATCTGATGCCTGGTACGGAGAAGGAGATTTATTTGCCGTCAACATTACGGGTCCATTCTTTCCCGCTCAACTCACGGGAGCTTCCTCGGCCAACCTCTCCCGACTACGATATCGAAAGCTCAGCCCTGGCGCAGGTTCCAGATATGTTCCATATCCAGAAGGAATATGTTTTCAGAACCATGGAACAAGATGCCTTCCCTCGCTTCCTCCGTGCCAAGGCGTTCGCAAACCTGACTCCTGTGAGTGCTTTCGTGAGACTCTGCGGGGGAATGTTCTGTCTTTGGGCCGCTTTGTCTACTGCGTACACCCTGATCTTTCTCGACATTCAACCAAAAAGCAGGCGTTTCTTCGTGAGTCCACTTCCCCCTGCGCATCGCTCAATCTATTGACAATTGCATTCACAGCTTTTCATCCCGTTCGCCTTTGCGGCCCTGTTCCTGATTTCCTATCAATATGAGCTTGATCCCATCCTCGTATTTTTCGGGCAGTCTGAGACTACACCTTTCAGACTCATTCGCATTCGGGAGCCGTATGTCAAGAAACTCTTGTTCGGGCGAGCTCTGTGGGTCTCTCTGACGATCGTGGTAATATTCACTGTCCTTACCATCATTTTCTGGGCTGTGCCCGGCCATCGTTTGTAATACAATTGTGGATCGATTTCTTCCTATATACAGCTTCATAGGCTCGCCCATTACATTGAATGGATGCATATGAAAGCATGTAATCAAGCTGACACGAAAGAGGAATCCAGCAGGTAACGAAAGCGAGGGTGGGAAGTTCTGGGATATGTATGAAGTCTGCACAATGCAGTGACGATGGAGGGCAAGTGCTAAGTTGCCTCAGCTTTCTGAGCACGATAGGCAACATTATGCTTCGCGGCGCGCTCTACGTACGTCTTGGGTCTCATGTTAGCAAGGTGGAAAGGACATGGGGGTGGAAGACACGCACAGCTCTCTCGGCATCGGACAGCTTCTTCCACTGACTAGCAGCCTTCTTCACAAACCAACTCTGCCGAGCAATTCCTGAGGCGGGTGCGCCATCCCAATTCTCAGGTATGGCCCTTTGGTCTGATACGAAAATGAGATACGGATTCGAAGGCTTGATGAAGTCGCGGTGACCGGCAAGGCGAATGTTCCTCTGTTTCTTCGCACGACGTTGCTTATTGATCTTCCGCAACATATCGTATGAAATATCTCTGCTCCATTCTGACAATGCGACGTGGTACTCGCTCAGACGCCGCGCCGCGTCGTCGTAATATACCTATAGTTCCTTTAGCTAGAGCAGGACCAGGACAACAAGCGCATACCTGTTTTTCCTCCACTGGAAGGGCCTGCCAGTCCGCAGCTAGCTTCGAAGCCGCCTGCCGGAATTGTTCCTGAGTCACCGGGGGCTTCGTATATTTCACAGAATTTGCGGCGGTGAACAAACCATAAGGCCCAGCGGGCCTAGCAGGTGGTTGGGGCAGTTTCTCTTTCACTTTCTTTTCGACAGGTCGACTTCTCTTCTTAGGGGCTGCCTTGGCTGAGAGGATAATGAGCAGGATTCCGAGTGATTTTGATTTAGGCATACCGACGCGTTTCCCAGGTTTCTTACCCTTCTTAGCCTTGGTCTTGCGACCCTTCCCGCTGGGCGATTTGGACGCGCCAGCAGTACTGCGCTTAGATGCAGACTTTGCGGCCACCGGCTTGCGCTTAGTGACAGTGGCTGCAGCAGCGAAAGCGCGTGCGGGGAAAGCGAAGTGACGCGACGCGGTGGTGACGCGGGGCGTGGTGACGGCAAAGTGACGTAGGGTTGTGGCGAGGCGAATTACGCGGGGGAAGAGAGTAGATAGCATGATTTGATGGAAGGAGAAAGAAGGGGAGAGAGGTGGCTGTTGACAGTAGGGGATGAAGTCGTGTGAGGGGGTAAAGGACGAAGGAGGGGGCGGAGACGTTGACTTGACCACGGAATCAAACGCGTGCATCGTGACCGCTCAATACTTCCTAGTCCACCACATCTCGAGTTCTTCCGCTTGGCCCATCAAACAAAAAGGGTTTTATCACTCTACACTCCCAAACATCATGTCTTCCTCAGAGGACGATGACGATCATCATTCCACCCATTCAGAAACTTCTCTACCCAACACCGCCTCCGCCCGACCTCCGCTTCAGACTGTCTCGTCCTCTCTCCCCACTGGCACATCTTCCGTACAGGTTTCCCAGAATGTCCCCACATTACCGCCCACCAGTCTGCCGCCAATGGATGCAATCAGCCTCAAGTTTTCTCAAGTACATGATGGGATCTTTTCTCTCGCTCGCTCAATCGAGGCTGATGGCGACCGTTCCATAGCAACATGGTTGGTGCACATAGCACGCATAATTTCTACTAGCTCAAAACTTTACAGGCCAGACCTGTTGTCCAAATACAATTTTCTCGTCTCACAGTCTCACATTCTTTCTCAAACCCTTTCAAACTCAGCGTCGCTGGCAGAAGAGCATTCTGCAGACCCTCGCACGCGACGACCGCCCCTATCCACTTTGCCTCGCCTTGTGCTGCACCCAATCTCTCCAACACAGGATGATCCATCCATGGATTTCCGTGCCGCTGCTCTCATCCGGACGGCGCTTATTCCGGACATGTCGGAAAGACAAGCGAGCTTGCTGAAAGGGTTTGGTCACATCGACGCTGATCACAATGAGGTTGTCGCTGTGAATGAGTTGAGTCTCCTCATCAAGTCGCATGACGGCCGAGTATCCCGGATTCTTGACCAAATGAATGCTTTCCGAGAGCAATACGACTGGACGGCACGTGTATCCGTCGCACCACCAGAGGATGCAGCTCACTCTCCCATTATCAATGTGTCGGCGACGTCTCCGGTGGCAATGCCTGCAGGTCCTGGGGTAGCTGGCGATGGCATAGAGGACCATGGTTCTGATACTGGTGAAGAAGGCGTCGCCAGTGATCCAGGAACCGGGAGTACCAACACGAGCGATGAGGCATTTTTGCTGGAGGCAGAACTGGAGGACGGTGGCGAAGGTGTAGGTGCAACGCCCAGTGGAGTTCCAAGCGTGACCAGTGAAACCAGTAGACCGTAAGCGGCCGAGTACAGGATATCCACCTTGCCAGCGCCCACAGAGTTTCGGGATATGACGCCGTTCTTTGCGAACCAGCAATAGTCAGCGGGACTGTCGTCTTCTAGAGGTTCACTACTGAAAACATACACATAGAGTGCGCAAACCTCGGTGGTAGTGTAGTTCTCCAAATATACCTTATTCGGCGGGGATTCTGGAGTATACACGAGAAGTGTGCCCTGTGCCTGTGCCCTTGCGCGGCTCGGAGGCAAATCGCCTCATAATTTCCTTAAATAGTAAGCAACCTTCAGATAACATAAGTAATGTGTGCAACTTTAAATGTACACACAATCATTATTATCAAATGAGACATTTGTGTGTGGAATTCACTAATATATTTCTATCCATTTTACAAAGATTGCATAGTTAATTACTATGAATTGGTTGAAAATTGAATAAAATTTCCTTCTCACCATTTGGTGTGGTCAGCCCAAGGCACTGAGGGTGTGGTGCTCACACTGTCCCGGTCAATCAAGTTTTTTGTTGTCGCCCCTCGTGGTTATTACAGGGTCCTCCTGATTGTTGTAATCGTATCAGTGCCAGTATGTTGGATGTGCCAGCGCGTTCTCAGCTCGTTACGTCCACGGTATGTTCAGCACATTGACTTCATATCTAGGCTTGTCTAAGGCGGAGACTGTAACGGTATCCAAGTTACTAGGTGAATACAATCCGTGTTGTTTTGTGCTCATTGCCCTAAAGACCGCGCAGTTCATCCAATAAAGGTGCATGCACCGCAGTCGCCTTCTCAGAGATTGGTGTTGATAATCCCATAGAGTTGTCATGGAACATCTGTTGAAACCGCTCTTTGCACTAGAGCCGGGTTAAAGGTGCGGGCATTAGAGAAATATTACCCAGCATTGGCCAATGCCAACTCCAGCATGACCGGGAATTCATGATTATCGATGCAAAGACCCACAAGGCTATTACTGCCCGAGATGTTGCCAAGGTATTGCGATTATCCCTGTGATATTCTTTGATTTACTAGACCGTTAGATGGTGCTCATACACCCCTCAATCCATTATGATCCCAAGTCATACTCTGGAGGGGTACTGCGGGTCTCCTTTCCTGAAGAATCCAATTTGGAAGAATTCGAAGTTCCCTTACAGCCTTCTGCTGATGAAGTGAAGGATTGGGTGCTGTGAGCCGTGGAACTCTGTCCCGACAAAGTGTCTCATTGTGTGATCAGAATCGACGATGTAAAACTGTGGAGTTTCACGATTGATGCCTACGTATGCGAGGCTTTACGACCAACAGAATCAGGGCTATCGCCTTCCGAGATCATTTCAACATACATTGGGCGTCCAGCATTGCTGATAGTTAAAGGCCCTTCTCCGCGAAACGCCTTACCCACAGTCTCGGCGCCAGACTTAGACGCCACATTTATGTTCCAAGACGGCTATCCTCTGATGGTACTGTCGACGGAGAGTATTCAGGATGTGTCAGAACGAATTTCGCAAGCCGCAAGAAGTGAGGATGGCTGGGCGGTAGCGGGTATCAACCTGGACAAATGGGGATGCAATGGCTTGAGCCAGGGAGAGTGGAAACTGGTAGAGCGATTCCGGCCAAATATCGTTTTCAGCGGTGCAAAGAAAGCCTTTGATGAGGTGAGAGGTTTTTCAACGCACTACAGCCACCGCTCAGATCATAAATAGGACGTCTGGGAGGAAATTGCCATCCACGATTCCGAAAGCGATGCACTCAAGGGACGAATCCTTTTGGTGTGTCGTTGTACACGATGCTTGGTCAGTCGGCTCGAACCTACTATTGTTGGGAAGAATGTCATTTTGGGCCCCCTTTTTTAGTTGCCGAACGTTGACCCTTCTTCGGGTATTGCTGATAAGGCCGTTCCTTTCAAGGTGCGGCGCGATGCGAGTGGTGACCGATAGGGGGCTGATCTTCTGGCAAGGTGATCGCTAAATATCGGCGGATAGATGCCCGCGACAAGTATGCGCCATGTGTTGGAGTAAATGCTGTTCCCCTGCTGGATAGTTTTGTCATCAGCGTTGGGGACAAAGTGACGATTACCAGAAGGATAAGCAGGGAAAACGAAACGCTCGTTCCGAAGTAGCAATGTAGTCAATGAGACCCACTTGCACCTGGTAACACAGCATTCCGGATACTGCCTGTTAGGGTCTGGTTGTCTGTCCCATCCTCCCACAATTCGCCTTCGTTCCTCAGTACAAGTGCTTGTGTATTTTGCAATGGCAACGCCTTTAACTCCTGCTCAAACTGGTCTCGTGGCTCAATTACAGAGCATAACAAACTCTTCAAACTTGGAGGCCGATGTGCACGTACTGAAAGCTGCAGATTGGGATATTCAAGTCCGTTTCACTGACTCCCTGCTCTCTGGTGCATACGTGACTAATTGCACAAATAGCGCGCGGTTCAAATGATCTATGACGAGTCCGATGTTTCCCCCCATGGTCAAGCCTCATCATCACGTTTGCCAGTCGGTATTCCGTCAACTAGAATGGAACCAATGGAAGTGGATGACTCGGCGGCGAGCATATTCGGCCAGCCCGCTCCATACCGCCCTGTGAGTCAATGAATTGATGTCGCGCGGTTGCTTTATAGCTATGCTTAGATTTCGATCGCGTACCCTAATACCTGGACAGCCGGTTTGAATCTCATCAGTATTTTCACCCTACCAATCACCATGTCGATCGGTCTGCTCTCAAACCTACTGCAATTTGTTCTACGGTTACTTGGTATTCCGATACCGCGCTTTTTGCGTGCATCTTCAGCAACGTATACCTCACTTAGAGGTCCTCCACCAATAGATGACCCTATGGTCGCAGCTGATCGTCTTGTTCGTCAGTTAGAGGAGGAAACTGGCGCTGTGTGCGTCAGCCGCGTTGGTATGTCATTGCAACAAGGCGAAATCGAAGCCACTGGGTCTGGACCAGATGGCAGTGAAAAAAGGAAGGTACTGCCAGACTTCTGGATTGGCAGTTACAAATCTGCACTGGAGATGGCGAAGAAGGACATCAGAATCCTTTGTGTGGTTTTGATGAGCGAAGAACATCAAGACATGCAGGAATTCCGGAGGTGCGTTCCTAATGTTGGCCGCTAAGTTTGCCGTGTATCTAATTCCCCATCGATTTTGGTGTTCAGGAGCGTGCTGACTGATCCTGATCTCGTTCGTGTGCTCACTGACCACGCGATCATGACCTGGGCGGGTGATATTCGGGATCGTGAAGCTTATGAGGGTGAGTCTGAGGAACATTATTGGAACACAAATTCAATGTCATTCCAGTGGCTCAATCTCTCCAGGCAACCACGTATCCGTTCGTTGCCTTCATCGCGCTGCAGACGAGGGGCAGCCGGAGTAATGCTAACTCGTCAAGTTCTGGCGCGACGCGGCTCGCTGTCCTGTCCAGGCACGAAGGTTCTCCCTTATCCACCACGTCTGCCCCGGTGCTTCAAGCATATATTATATCAACTCTCATACCCCGCATTACGCCTCTTCTCACTCGCCTGCGGAACGAGCAGCGAGCACGGCAGGCTGAACGCCTGCTCCGAGAGGAGCAAGACCGGGCATTCCGAGAAGCAGAAAAGAAAGACCGTGAGCGCATTGAAAAACGACGTGCTGAAGAACAAGTCCGTTTGGAAGCGGAGCGAGAGAAGCGCCAACAAGCTCAGGAGGCATCCTTACTAGTCGAAAGACGAGATCAATGGAGGCGATGGGCGAGGACGGCGCTTGTGCCGCCGGAATCCCTGGACGGTGTTCGAATTGGCATTAGGTTGCCTGATGGTCGGCGTTTGGTTCGCAACTTCAACGAGGACTCCACTCTTGAGCAACTTTACGCATATGTTGACGTACAATCGATCCCAATCGAATCACCTGCTCGTCTTCATTTGGGCTCATCACCTCCTGATTTCATTCCGGAATGGAACTTCCGTTTGGCCTCTACCTATCCTAGGATAGAGATTCCTTTTGTGAAGGATGCCCGCATTTCAGACGTTCCCGCTCTGCAAAATGGGGCAAATTTGATTGCCGAACTTATCAGGAATGGGATCTCCACGGCGGAAGAGGACACGGATAGCGAGGAGGATTGAGGACGTAGTTCCATTTATCACTTAGATGTACATAGACCCTTCTCCGGCCACTAGGTGCATCCTTCGAATCGACCTCTTACCCTCAGAAGCGATTTGCATATCTGTAGGCGACGTCCAGTCGATCGGAATAGAACCAAGGAAATGGGACAGATACATGCATGCAGTTCTCATCAACTGGTGTGACCAAGGGGAGGGCGAGACCGGATCTAGAGGGTTCGACCCTAGCACAACTGGTGTCGAAACGGGCAAGGAAGGTAGAAGGACAACACCACCGCTTATCCTGGACATTTCCAGCGCAGTCATGATAGCTGCCGGCAGCAATTGAATCAGGTTTGGCGGTGTGAACATGGGAGCATCTGGCTGTACGGGTGTTAGTCTCATCTACGTGAGATTCTCCACAGAATCTCTTACAGGGCAAGAAGAACATTGGGATGTGCATAGAAGTCGCAACGAGGCAGGATATGGCGAAATAGGGGTGTCGGAGATATACATCGGAGCCGTATAAGAGTCAAGTAAGGCTACCCTACATATGTGTGGTCAATCAAGAGTAGGTAGCAACGCGATACAATGCGAGCCTTACGCTTCCGGATTGAATGCCTCTATGATGGCAACTGCCAGGGGATAGCACATGTGTGGTGCTAGTGCATAGTCGATATGGACAATCGCAAAGGTATTATCCACAGCATAGATGGACCCCACCTGTTCGAGGTCAATACCTCTTTCGATGGTCACCATCAAAAGCACGGACAGACGATGTACCAGCAAGGATATGGCCAAGGCTGTGGGAGAGACGCATTCCGCGACACCAATGTAAACCGGCATAGCCTGATGCTACCAAAAGCTTTTTCACCCGCTTCACTGCTGAAGGAAGAGAGATCCGGACGGATTCGTGGACTGGGTTCATTGGTGGCATAGTGGTCAGATCAAGGTCATCTTCGTCGTCCGACTCGATCACATATCGAGGTGCATGTGTATCGAACAGCGGTTCAATATCCTGACCATTGTCATCAATTGAGATCGCATGAAATGTTGAAGAGACCCACCATGAGGTGATCACCACCGTAGAGGAGTGAATGCGTCAGCCTTTTGACAACGTCCGGTTAGGGTCCGCGGTGACGTATTTCACTTCTGTCACGTGATTCTGCCAGGCCCTATGGGCCCTGAATGTATGGGACGCTCAGCACGCCCAGTCCTTCACACATTATATTCGCCAACTTTGTCCGGCTATGAGATATGGATTGGCTCATACCCTTGATATCATATATACAAGATGATACTGATCCAGATTTACCCCCCGCGACTCCCCCAACTTGTGAGCCTCACTCGACTCGTGTCAAATGCGAGGAAGCCTGACAAGTATTAGACAAATTCGAGGGACCGTGGTTTCAAACTCAACTCATCCTATCATTTGCAATAGGATCCACGTCCTTTCTTATCTTTTCCTTTGGTCGTACAAGATGGCCTATTGCATTTGCTCCACGAACGAAACTCAAAGGTTGGTCCCAAGCCGGAAGCATGCTGACAATTGCGTGTCTCACACATTCCGGTCAGGTTTTTCACCGCATGAAGCCCATTCACAGCAATCATTCTTCTCTTGGATTCTACCTACCATCAGGACTTCGGAGTTCACTATTCTTCAGATTGTTGGATTGGATGCGGCAGTGGTGCGCGGATACCGACCTCATAGTGATCGACCAAACTGAACAGGTTGCAGCTTCTGAATTTTCTGAAGATGTCATTTCAACTCTTTTTTATTTGCGGAACGTTGGCAACCTTGGTTGTAATGCCGTTGAACTGGCGGGTGCGCACTTTTCCGCCCAGAATATGGGTTAGCATGAACTTATGTGGGGCAGTCCAACGGTGGTCTTGATGGGGGATCAGACGATTCGGACTGGCCCTCTCTTAATTCCGATGATAGTCCTTCGGAACCCTCTCCAGAAGGCGGTCGAAGCTGGTTGGACTTGTTGAACGACGCCAGCGCAGACACTCTGGTCTACTTGGTGTTTTCCTATCTCTTCACTGGACTGGCACTATATTTCATACATCGAAATTTTCAGCGCTTTATCAGAGCCAGGCAGCTGTTCTCGCTCGAATTGGTCCACTCCATTGCCGCAAGGACTGTCATGATCACCAAGCTACCTCATCACCTCCGAGGGGAGCGGACTCTGGCGAATTATTTCGAGGGCATGAATCTAACAGTGGAGAGTGTCTCGATCTGCCGAGAAATATCTGCTATCCGGAAACTTCTCGAGGAGCGAACCCGTGTCCTGTTACAATTGGAAGCCATGTGGGTCAAATATGTTGGCAATCCTTCTACTGTTAGGCCTTTCGATCCCTCGCAAAATGTGCGATCCGATAATGGGCCTAATCCTCTCGTCGACCTTTCAGAGCCTGACGTCGAAGCACAGGCGAATCGACTCGTCATACCCCACGGTGCTCGACCAACCATGAGGGCAAAGTGGTTCTCCAGGAAAGTGGACGCGCTGGATTTTCTGGAGAATCGTTTCAAGGAGCTGGATGAACAGGTGAAGAATCGTCGTCGTCATGGCATCTTCAAAGCGTCGGACACTGCATTCGTAACATTTCAGACGATGTCTAGTGCTGTACGTGCGTAACAATTTCCATTTGCCTTCACCAACTGAACCTTGAGATCAGCAAATCGCAGAACAGGTTGTACACGCTCCACATCACGGGCAATCGACAACCATCACCGCTCCAGAACCGAGAGACGTTGTTTGGGCAAACATGTCATATTCCAATACCGCCCGGCGCATTCGCGAACTGATCGTTTTCGGGGCAATGATTATTCTTCTCTTCTTTTGGATCATACCTGTGACAACACTAGCAACTCTGTTGAGTTACAAGGAGATCCAGAAGTCTGCGCCTTGGCTCGGTCGGTTGATTGATCAGAGCCCGAGGTTCAGAGCGATTGTGCAGAACTCTTTGCCATCTGTTGCTGTGATCAGTTTCAATGCTCTTTTACCAATGCTCTTGGAAGGTATGTCTGATCGCTCGAGTCACAACCTCAGAATTTCATGACTTGCAGCCCTATCCTATGTTCAAGGATTCAGGGCGCGGAGCTGGGTGGAGTACTCTCTAATGAAAAAGTGAGTGCGCTGAAATAACATTGTTCATGTCCTGAATTAGTGCTTAGATATTTTCTCTTTCTTATCATCAATGTCGTGTTCATCTTCCTTTTCACAAGCACTTACTTCGCACTCTTCCGCGACCTCGCCGACTCACCCGCCAAGATCCCAGAAAAGCTGGCGACGGCCTTAACTAAGGGAACAGCCAGACACTTCTTCCTGAGCTACGTTATTTTACAAGGTGCGCCACTTTTGGTTTGATTTACAGTGTCTCACGTGCGGTAGGCCTCGGGGTCATGCCTTTGCAACTCTTGAACCTTGGAGTTCTCATCCCTCAGTTGATATATCGTGCTTTCATTTCACGCACACCCCGTGGTACGTAGAGTTACCTCTGAACCTATCGCGCACACTAAGCGTGGCAGACTATGCCGAACTAAACGCCCCGCCCATGATCAACTACGGCGCGGTTTATCCACAAGCGATTCTCATATTTATCATCACGCTCATCTACAGCGTATATCAACCGATGATTCTGATTTTCGGCAGCATCTATTTTGGTGTGTCGTATGTAGTCTATAAGTACAAGCTTCTTTTCGGTACGGCCCCTTTATTCACGTCGGCTCTCCGCTCATTGCACCCAGTATTTTACAAGCCCTACGAGAGTCGAGGTCAAGCATGGCCGATCACATACGTTCGTCTGGTCATTGGGGTACTTTTGTTCCAGATCTTCATGACCGGCGTCTTCACGTTGCAAAAGTCGTTTGTGTTTTCAAGCCTCATGGTGCCTCTCATCATGTATACCTTGTACTGGTCCTGGTCGACCTTCCGAGAGTTCGAGCCATTGAGTTCATACGTGAGCCTGAGCTCAGTCTGCGAGGTTCAGCGAGGCGAACCTACGCAGGATCTCCCAAAGCTTCTCGAAGGTGATCGGGTAACACGCTCTCAGAGGTATGACACTCGCTGCATTGGGATCGAAAGCTGACTGGACCAGCAATTTACACCGTCGAAGATACGCCGAGAATGACGAGACGCTCTATGTTGCTCCGGCAGACAATAGGACCGATTATGTGTGTGTCCCCGTTGGTCATAAATGTACGACCTAACATGATCCAGTCGCAACCGCCTATGAGTAATTGGTACTATGGTGTGCTGAAGTAAGTAACACATGCCATTTGTAACCTTGTTAACGTTGTTCAGCACTGGCAAGCGCCGCTATGGACACCCTGCACTGACTGGAGTACTGCCGAGTCCGTGGCTTCCTATCAAAAAGGGTCAAAGCCTTGCCAATCACGTGGATGGCACTGTAGCAACTTCAAAATCGGGCGATCCATCCAATGACGCAGTTGTGCTTACCCTGCGAAGGAAGTATAGCGTGGTTCGAGGGGATGCGAGACGAAATTGGGCCGGTGTGCAGGGTGCAGATGCCTCGGTGGAGTCTGCCGGACAGACAGAGCCACCCTCTGGAGATGAATCTGCAAATCCTTGGCGTGATGCAAGGCGGGTCGTGCCACAGCCGGTGGCCTGTACTTCTCACGCGACACGAAGACTCGAGTTTGACGATGCGACGGGTGTGATCATCTTGCCTGAGGATGGTGATTGGCTTGAAGATGCCGAAGAATCCGACGAGGAAGAGAACTGGGCGGAAGATGCGGCCCGAAGTCACTCTCCGGGTGAAATCTCTGGTAATCAGGGCGAGTCGGAAGAGGGTGTAGTGGGAGAGGGAAGTGTGCCTGCACTGAAGCGGCATGGCACATATTTCCATCGTCCTCCGTCGAGGTCGATGAACCGTATACCAGGCGCTTTCCCTCGTTGATTCATACCTGTAACATAATCCGAGATATAATGAAGGCATTTCGAGGTAGCATCATCCCGCTCGACAGGACTATGCACTTGTCCGTTGAACGAGGCCCCTAGCAAGACACATCGCATTCCATCTTCGAATTAACCACAATTTCTATATAAAACTGCTCTAAGGAGGTTGATAAGAATCATAGCTAAGAAGTAGAAGAATGCAAATGGTGCTGATTTTTTGTGAGAAGTGGGAGATGTAGGACTGAAAACCTCGGGGTCTGTCTGCTAACTTCTGAGAAAGGTTCACTCGTCACTTCTCTCAACACATTGATTGTAAAGGACTTTTGAAGGAAATTTAATGCCAAAAAAAGGGCCTGCACCCGGGATCGAACTGGGGACCCCTCCGATGTTAACACCCGAACGGAGGATCTTACCACTAGACCATGCAGGCGATCATGGATACGGTACGTAATCTTATATTATGAATAGTTTGCTATGCAGACCATAAAAGATTGCTTAAGAACTTGTATTTGGCCCTTTCGACAGAGTCAAAAAATGGAGGTACTATTCCTGACGAGTTAAGCTGAGTTGAGGTCAGAAACACTTCTTACTCCCCCACCTGCCGTGCTGGATGATTGAAGTGGTCGCTAATCAGGGTCCGAAGCATCATGCCTCTTTTCATCCGCCCAGTCAGCGGATTTTGACTGACTGGCTTTGGGATGCTTTTCCTCTCACGAAGATGGTGCACCACCGCCCATAGCATCATTGTCTATCGACAATGGAAGCGAGTGGCATCTACAGCTGTAAGGGCTGACCCGTCACTATCCCTTTGGCGAGAGAGATTCGGTGAAGAGGGCGAAAGAATCCTTAAAATCGTGTCTCGTCGTGTGGCCGAAAGGAATGAACTGATACAGTTGGCGAGTCTATCTCCATCTTCAAATGCGTGGGTCCTTAGTCGGATATTTGCAGCTCGGCGGGAATGCACACTCCCCTGAACAGATTCAAAGAGCTAAAACTGCGAAGGAACTGGAGCCTCTCTGGGAGGCATGGCAGGACTGGCAAAAGACGGAAGGGGTCAGGCACTATTGCGCTCGCTAGAAACGATGATTTACCGCCGTGCTAGTCCTTTGATGAAGTGAAAGTCCTTCTCGAGGACTCCGACCCTGATATCCGCATGCTTGCCCAAGAAGACGAAGCCGCCTTGACGTCCAAATTAAATGAATTTGTCAGTGGAACCTTCCCAACTCTGTTAATGCCTGCTTCCAAAACATCACACTATACTGCCCTCGTGGAAATAAAGGCCGGCGTTGGCGGGGATGAATCTGCTCTATTTGCAGAAGAAATGTCCCGCCTCTACACTCGTTTTGCGACAACACAGGATTGGCAATGTCAAGTTGTCAGTGAAACAGGTCACGAACATGGCGGCATACGAGAGATCATCATCGAAATCAAAGGGGATGGGACGTATGACGAAATGCGATGGGAGAATGGAGTGCATCGCGTACAACGAGTTCCAGCAACGGAGTCGACAGGCCGAGTCCACACTAGTACCATCTCGGTGATGGTGTTCCCTGTGGCTCCCCAAAGTGGGCATGATGCCGTAGAAGAGGATATCGTCGATGAAAAGGATGTGAGGATTGATGTCATGCGTGCTCGTGGGGCTGGCGGACAGGTATGTTTGGATTGTCTTGCAGTGGGCTGCCCTTTCACCAGTCTCCAATAGCACGTGAATCGAACAGAGTCCGCTGTGCGTCTGGTCCACATACCAACTGGCATAACAGTTTCTATGCAAGACTCTCGGAGTCAGCATCAGGTAGCCCAATAAGTTTGGCAGTGGCTTCCAGGCTGACTCCTTCGATAGAACAGGGCGCGAGCGTGGGAGATTCTGCGCGCGCGATTGCTGGATCGAAAGCTTGCTGCAGATGCCGAGAAGAAAAGGTTGACCAGACGAAGCATATTCAAAAGCGCAGATCGTAGCGAGAAAGTTCGTACATACAACTTTCCACAGGCATGTCTTCACCTCGGGAGTGCAGGAAAAATCTAATGCAGGAATCAGGATCGCGTGACCGACCATCGCATTGGAATGACACTCAAGAATCTAGAGTCCTTCATGGACGGTACTCGCCTGCATGATGTCCACGAGGCCCTCATCAGGGATTACAATGCAGCCGAGCTCGAGGAGCTCTTGGAATCAGGAACCTCGCATTAATTATACTATATTAGGGTAGATTGGTCATCAGAAATAACATCATCATGAAGACGACAAACTGACCAGGTTCGGGCACCCGATGAAGGGTGGAGGATTCCGAAAAGCGTAGGCAACCAACGAACAATAGCACGAGTCTACTCGAGCAAGCCGTCTAGACAGATTCCCAGTGGTTACGAGTTGCGGCCCATCGATGAACAGACTGGGTTCCATGACGTATTTTGCGGGATATATGGAGTAACGTCGGAAGGTCGTCTGAATTTGTAGACTGGACGATCGTGAACCAAGATGAACGCCGCGATGGGCTGAGAAGGAGTGAGAGCGCGGCGATACCCTGTTCAGAGGTACAAACCTCGGTTCGATTAGTATGAGGCACGGGTCATGCAACAGGCAGTCAGCCCAACATACTGACCTGTATCAAGCATTGTTGTGTAAGCGTCTTGAGGTATCAAGAGTGGGTGGATGACGTACAGACGGCGGTGCCACATTTAAACGGGAGGATCATAAATTGGGGAGAACAGTGGGTTAGCAGACAGACGGGTTTCAGGAAGCCTGCCAGTGAACTTCCGATATTAGATTGTCGCGTTTCTTAAGCTTGGAGGTGCGTTCTGATCCCGATAATATACTTGTCTTCAACAAGTCATGGATATTGTCAGAACGTGTTCTCAGCGATCTGGATGAGTTTACCGGGAAAAAGATGAACCCGCCAGAGGGCTCCAACTGAATTCGTAGATCAAAGTGTAGGTATAGATACAAAGAGAATATTGAGGGCAGATTCCGTAGCAGTCGCCTTTGTATCCACGTAGAAGTGGGAAGTTTACCGTCGAAAGCAAATGACCATAAAGTCGGTGGGCGGGAAAGCTCCTAGAGAGTAGCTGCGTCGAATATTGCTGTAGATATCAATTTTGCCAAGACGAACCAGAAAGGAATGTACCACATTAACCATGCCTATCCATGTCCAGTGTGTGGCAAGAAGAAGTCGAGGATGGTAGAGGAAAGATGGTAGTCGATCTATAAGGAGATCAGACAGAGCTGCCCCTGTGACGGCACTACTCACTACATTTGAGTCGTCCAATATCCATATTGGGGTTTGGCGATTCAAGGTTTTGTGGGTGAATGTTGTAGGACCGAAGGCCCACATTCAAACGAGGAGAGTACACAGGGGAATAGGGGCGGACCGGCAGGGAAGGGGGTTGGGTGCTGAAAGATATAGAACATTGGTCCGGGGGTAATGAGCCTGGTAGGAGTCGACCTGGAACATTCATCAATACATATAGTGACGTTTGTAGAGCAGAGCCAAAGGGCCTGTCCTTGCCTTTCAATCCGAGCTCTTTCCTAGACCATGATCTACCGTGGACGCACATCTGAACCAGTCGACGTAAGAAAGACATGGCCGTGCTGAAAGGTGGACGATAGGAAGTATGAGACTGCGTCCACAAGCATAAATCGGATGACTTAGAGGGCACTTGCAAAAGCCACAAACTGTCTGCTGGACACGGTCGACAGGATTGAGTGGAAGTGATAAATACGAATGTGAATGCAAGTGGACGTACGACGGAGGTGGTGGACACGGAGGATCCGCTTCGTCTGATGGCACGGGATAAAATATTCGCCGATCTGCAGGAACACGTCAGGCGAGAATTGAGATGAAGAGGCCAGAAACGATGTATCGTCCACGAACGACGCACAGGCCCAACACGACAGCCGAGACCGCTTGCTGTGTGGTGCTGCACCTAATAACGTTCATAAGGACTCGTCAATAGAAAGTATGAGATCGACTCTATAATAAGCCGAATCAGGCGGCCCTGCTCGACGATCTATTAGGTGCTCAAATATAAGAGGATGAAGCACTCA